AATCCTTGCTCTGGAAATTGTTACTGAATATATTAAAGCTGTAATGAAATGCTTCTTCTAATCATGTGGTTATTAAATAAAAATTAAAAAAAATAACTTTAGAAAATATTGGAGTTTATTCAAAATCAGTCTGACTGACCAGGTTTTGCTCTCTCTCTCTCTCTGTGTGTGTGTGTGTGTGTGTGTGTGTGTGTGTGTTTGTCTGTGTCTGTGTGTCCGTGTGTGTCTCATGGCCTCTAACTCTATAAAGCTGAAAATGGCCTTGAATTCTTTATCCTCCTGCTTCCACCTCCCCAGTGCTGAGATTATAGGCATGCTTTATCACGCCCAATGTTTTTACTTTTTGGGGGAGAGTCTTACTATGCATCCCATTTTGGGCTTGAACTGGTGGTTCTCCTATCTCTGTCTCCTAAAGCTTTCTTAGAGACTTGACAACATCCCTCTCCTCATCTCTTCTTAGGTTTTGTTTTGTTTTGTTTTCCGTTTTTTGAGACAGGGTCTCCTTCCTGTTAACTCCAGTTGGCCTGGAACTTCCTATGTAGATCAGGCTGGCCTCTGCCTCCCCAGTACTGAGATTAAAGATGTGTGCTATCATGCCCTGCAAGTTTCTTACTTTTGAATCTTCAAATTAAATGAAGATGAACTCATGTTGTCTAGTAAAAATTAATTCATAGAAAATATTTTTTCATTAAGCTGGAGAGGTGGCTCAGTGGTTAAGAGCACTAGCTGCTCTTGCACAGGAACTGGGTTCCATTCCCAGCACCCACATGGTGACTGACCATCTGTAACTCCAGTTCTAAGGAGTCTGATGCCCTTTCCTGACCTCTTTGGGCATTGCATGACATGGGTGCACTTACACTAGGTGAAACACTCATACACATGAAATGTTTTTTTTTTTTTTAAATATATTTTATTGTAGCATAATCTTGTTTATTTATGATTTTTAAAAAATATTTTGTGTGTGTGAATTGCCTGCTTGTAGGTAAGTGCACCCATGTTGTGCAGTGACTGCGGAGACAGAAGAGGCTGTTGAAGTCCCTGGAACTGGAGTTATGGATAGTTGTTAGCTGCCATTTGGGTGCTGGGATTCAAACCTGGGTCTTCCGCAAGAACAGCCAGTGTTCTTAACCGCTGAGCCATCTCTCCAACCCCTTATTTTTGATTGTTTTGGGGGATTCTGTTTATCATTGGTGAGTGAAAGTCTTAAAAGTGAATCAGGGCTGGAGAGAGAGTTTAATAGCTTGAAAGAGTGAAAGAGCTGAACACATTATTTTTGTTTTCCTGTTAAATGTAGTTCAGATTAACTAAGAGTAGAACTAGAGAAGATGAGCATAAAGTACTCAGTTTGGTAAAGTAGCAGACAGATACAGTTTAAACATTACCTAGATAACGTCTGTTCTTCAGTCTGATTATAATAAGCCATTTATCTCAGACTTGTGGTACTAGTTATGTTACGCTGTTTACTTGGTGTATGATGTCATATGTGTTTGAGGATCTTAATATCTGAACTAGATCTTGGGTATTTGGCAGGATATGCAGATTGACAGTTTTCTCTGGAAAGATAGATGTAATTTTATTTATATATGTCTCTGTATTACATCCCCCCCCCCTCTGGAGTACATGTGTTTTCCAAATGAAGAAAATTAAGTGTTGGGTTTTTTTTTTTCTGTTTTATTATTTATTTATTTTTTTGGTCTTTTTGAGACAGGGTCTCCCTGTAGCCCCAGCTGTCCTGGAACTCACTATGTAGACCAGGGTGGCGTTGAACTCACAGAGATCCACCTGTTTCTGCCTCCCGTGTTGGGATTAAAGGCATGCGCCACCATGCCTGGCTATTTTTATATTTTTATGTGTATTCCTGTATTGCCTGCATGCAGGTAAGTGCACCTGTGTCATGCAATGCCTGTGGAGGGCAGAAGAGGCTGTCAGATCCCCTGGAACTGTTAGCTGCCATGTGGGTGCTGAGATTCAAACCCAGGTCTTCTGCAAGGACATTCAGTTCTTAACCATATCTAACCTATGTGACATTTTTTTTTTTTTTTTTTTTTTTTTTTTTTAAAGACAGCATCTCACTGTAGCTCTGTCTGGTGTGGAGCTTGCTATATACAACAGGTTGGCCTAGAACTCAGATTGTCAACAGGTTGGCCTAGAACTCATATTGTCCCAAATGCTGGGATTAAAGGCGTGTACCTCTAGTCCCAACTAGATGTTTTAAATGGGGAGAAAGCTTAGATTCTCCTTGAAAATTTCTGGGCTTTTTTTGTTTTGGGTCTTTTTGAGACAGGGTCTCCCAGCTGGCCTGGAAGACCAGGCCTGGAACCCGCTATGTAAACCAGGCTGGCCTTGAACTCACAGAGATCCACCTGCCTCTGCCTCCCAAGTGCTGGGATTAAAGACTTGTGCCAACATGCCTGGCTTTGTTTGTTTTTTTTGTTGTTGTTTTTTTTTTTAATGTGTAAGAATGTATTGTCTGCATGTATATAAGTGCACCTCTGTCATGCAATGCCTGCAAAGGTTAAAAGAGGGCTTCGGACCCCCTGGAACTGGAGTTATAGATGGTCGTTTGCTGCCATGTGGGTGCTGGGAATCAAACCTGAGTCCTTTGCAAGACCAGCCAGTGCTCAACTGCTCAGCCATCTCTCCAGCCCTTTTTTTTGGTCTTTCTGAGACAGGGTCTCCCTGTAGCCCCAGCTGGCCTAGAACTTACTGTGTAGATCAGGCCTCCATCTCACAGAGATCCTCCTGCCTCTCCAATGCTGGCATTAAAGGTGTGGACTACCAAACCTGGACTATTTTTTTTTTTTTTTTTTTAAAGATAGGGTTTCATGTAGGCTGGCCTTGTGCTTGCTATGTAGCTTAGGATGCTCTCTTGAACTCCTGATCCTAAAATTGAATTCCTGGTCCAGGTTTTAGGATTACAGATGGTTTATGCAGTTCTTTATTGACTCAGGACTTCATGCATACTACCAACTGAGCTGCATTCCCAGCTCCCTATTTTTGTTTTGAGAAAATGTCTACTGTGTGATCCATGCTAGCCTCCAACTCTTGAACCTCCTGCCTCACTCTCTTGTGTGCTGATTGCAGAAGTGTTACTATATCCTAGGAAAACTTGATGTCAATTAAACTATGTTGCCATTAACAGTGTGAAGTACCTTGTAGAGTTACTATATATGGGGGAAAATATTCATCAGAGAATTGATGAAGCATAGCAGTTCTAAATTATGTATGAAATTTCAGCGATTTTTTTTTTTTAAGGGACCATCTAAAGTATGTTTATCTTTGGCAGTGCTTCAGATCTCATCCATAGGTCTTTATTGTTTTTTGTTTGTTTGTTTGTTTGTTTGCTTGTTTTTCTTTTCTTGTCCTGGGGATTGACCCTAGGGACTTGCACATTCTAGGCAAGCACTCTCTGTGTTACAGCCTCAGGTGTTTTGTTTTTAAGGCAGGGTCTCATAGCCCAGGCTGACCTCAAACTCACTACGAAACTGAGACTGGCCTTTAACTCCTACTTCTACTTTTCAAGTATTGAGTCAGAAGGCATGTACTACCATGTCTACTCCGTCCTTTCTAATCTTTTAAAGGCAGGATCCTACCAAATTGCCCAAGTTAGCCTCACACTTGTAGCCTATACAGCCCTTGAACTTGGGATCTTTTTGCCTCAGTATCCTATGTTAGCTTAAATTACAGGTCTCCTTCATCCGAACTGGCCATTATCTTGGTTTTAGCTACTATAAATATTTGTGAATGGACCAAATGAATCATGATTTAGGCCTATATTTGGAGAGATAATTTTCGTAGTTTTAATTTTTTTTAATGTGTTAATTGTTTTGCCTAAATATATGTAAGTGCACCTATGTATGCAGTGCCCACAGAGGCCAGAAGAGGACATTGGATCCCCTAGAACAGATGGTGGTTAGCTGCCATGTGGGTGCTGGGAACCAAACCTGGGTCCTCTGCAAGAGCAACCAGCACTCTTAACCATTGAACCATCTCTCCAGCCCTGTATATTTCTCTTAAAGAGCACTTAAGACAGGTAGTTGTGTTTGAGTCCTGCTACATAGCCCACAGAGTAATATACTTAAAATATTAATTGTATTGTCATGCCCTTTTGTAGCTTTCCTTTTCTCAGATGGTCCTCAGTATGTCTTGGCACACTTGGTGGAGTATACTAGACTTTGGTGTTTCTTTCTTCATAGGAATCTCTGTGGTACCTTTGTAAGGACATCAGGTGCTGAGATATATCAGGCATGTGTACTGTGATGTGCATTTAGCAAAGGAACTGGAGTAGTTACCAAATAATAATAAACTGGGAACCACTTCTACATATAAATAAAATGAGAAACCTGCCCATTGCTCCTTATTCCACTTTTTCTTTCTCCCTCATACCTTGTACTCAAGTAAAATAGTAAATCGTTTTTAGTTTACTTGTATATACTGATCTGTTTTAACCTCTGCCTTTTGCTTGGGATCGCCCAGAAGTATGGTCTTTATAAACTAATCCTCTCTTTAGGATTCTTTTCATTTTATTTTGTTAAACTTAGTTGCTTTTTTTACTCTTTGCTAATTCTTTGTACATATTTTGTTCCTTATATTTTTATTATGTACAAACTTTTTTTTTTTTTTTTTTTTAAACAGAACCATGTTTTGTTACGTATAGGAAAGTGTATAAGCTCCTAATGTTCAGGGATTCTGCTTTATTTGCTTTTGGTCTCCAGCAATTAGCATAGGGTTTGCACTATCTTCAGTAAATATTTGTTAAACTAAATACAACTGAGGCTGTGAAAGAATAGACATGCCATGTAGAACATATCTGCAGATAACTAAAAATCCTATTGTAATAAAAATGACATTTCATTTTATTTTAAGTACTTATAATTCTTTTTATTCTTTTGCATGTTTTCTTGGCTGAATGGAAATAGAGAAGAAGAAAATGAGGTAAGTATAATTTAATCATTCAGGGAATGACCTCTAAGTATATTTTCGAGGCTGGATAAAAGCTGAAAGCATTTAGGGGCTGGAGAGATGGCTCAGCGGTTAAGAACACTGGCTGTTCTTGCAGAAGAACTGGGTTTGAATCCCAGCACCCACATGGCAGCTAATAGTTCCAGGGGATCCGACAGCCTCTTCTGTCCTCCGTGGACATTGCATGACATGGGTATACTTACCTACATGCAGGCAGTACACACATACATAGATACAAAATAAAATATTAAAAAAAGCTGAAAGCATTTAAACTATCATTTTGATTGTGAAATGAGATACTACTTTGCTTAATTTTTTTTTTTAAGCTATAATAACTCATTCCAGTGGGAGATGTTATATATCACAGGAAAGCATTTTTTTTTTTTTTTTTTGGTCTTTTTGAGACAGGGTTTCCCTGTAGCCCCAGCTTTCCTGGAATTCACTATGTAGACCAGGCTGGCCTTGAACTCACAGAGATCCGCCTCTGCCTCCCTAGTGCTGGTTTTAAAGGTGTACGCCACCACACCCAGCCAAGAAAGTAATTTTTAAACTTAACAGCATCAAGAAATTTAGGAAAGGCGAAAGAAACTAGTTCTATAAACAACTTATATCTGTTTTTATGTATTAAGCCTCCATATGAAATTTAATTTGAAAAGTAGATTCTCTTAACTATTTGAAAACCACTGCACTAAATGTGAAAACTTCTATTTCTCACTTGAAGTTATTATATACTATTTAAAGCAGATTTCCAATTTCACCATGTTTAAGAGGAAAATTATTCCTAAACAGATGAGATTAAAGAATGTCTATTAGAAAAGTAGATGGCAAAATTTGGACTTGAGTTTTTTTTGTTTAATTTATCCTTAATATAGGCTTGAGTTTTGTTTCTGTTGATAATTCTGATATTCTACAATCTAGGTTGTGCCTTTGACTTTTAACTCCTACTGTTGCAATGAGTGGTAATGGAGAAATCTTCTTAGCAATATTTTGTTGCTCACACAACAATATCAGAGTAAGTTTAGCATTACCCTAGTGTGTGTGTGCCCAGGCAGAGATGGCGGTAATGCGCTAAGACAGTGTAATTTCAATTTCTAGGAAGACAGAAAGCCTGGTCCTCATTTGGCTCCTTCATCAGTAAAATGAATGAGGTCTGAGGCTAATTTGTACCAAGGAAGGTCATTAGAATTGCCTTTGTGTTTGTTGATTCAGTCCCCAAAATAATACCCCAAACAAACCTTTATGCTTTACTTTAGACTATTGATTTAATGTTCTTTAGCATATGGGTCATCTATCTATCTATCTATCTATCTATCTATCTATCTATCTATCTATCTATCATCTATCTATCTATATATATATCTTTTTTATTGTATACTCAACTGATTCTATGTGATTCCAGAAGACCCTTGGTTTTCTTGATTTTTGATGTTTCTTTTCAGACAAAAAGAAAAAAAGGGGTGGGGGGAGAAAAGAAGAATAGTTTTCAATATTGAGGCATTATTTACTACACTTTATATTCATGCCCTTTATATTATCAGGTTAAAACAATTCTTATTGAATTATGCTACCCGAGCTGGGTGTTGGTGCTTCTTTTTTTTTTTTTTTTGGTTTTTTTTGAAAAGGGGCTCCCCTTACCCCCCCC